ATCAAGAAAACGAGGGCAAGGAAAAGCTCTTTTAAAGAAACTTTTATTAGTAATGTGTAAACAAGAGATTGCATTTCAGTCCCGTGCAACATGGAAACAAGCAGAAGAAAATCCTAGTGCCTTTCTCGACTTAACCACAGAAGCTGGTGAGCCCGCAGCCACAGCGAACTTGCACGCGTGCAGCTGGCGCAGGGAGTGCGAGGTGCCCAAGGGCAGAGGGGCACAGTTTGTGCTTTATGCCTGTTCTTGGTCAAAAAATGCATCTCTTGAGAGTTTTTTTTTAATAAGGGAGGGGGGAGACCATCTTTAATAGTGAAACAGCCCATTTTATGTAGTGCATCTTTGTATCACTCCTACGTTCTCACGTTAGGTAACCACCAGCCTCTTCTAATACAGACGTGCTGCTTTAAACTTGGCCCTGGCTGCTAGCGCTGCTGCAAGCTGGGTCATGAGAACGTGTTCTCTGGGCAGATGCATGAGTGACTCTTGTGGATGCTTTGGAAGTCAAATTCCCGCTGGACACGGCATCAGTGGGGCCATGGCTCAATCCAGCACTCCCTGACACTGACTGCCCGTGGCTGCCCCACAGCGCAGGGCCATCCCCAGCCTGGCGCACGCGGGGGCTCCGTGCAACGCCCCTGGGCACGGCCCTGCGCAGAGGGAGCCAGGGCTCCCTGCAAACGTCTCACTGCAGGGAGGGTCCTGGGGAGCTGCGCATCCTTTTGCATTTGCAGGTCGTTCTAATCACAGCGGTTACTGAAAAAACGGGTGTTTTCCAGCTTGGATGGTACATTAGGTAGCCGCGCACCTCGATAAACACGCTTTTAAGTATGCAGCCTTTATCTACAGAGACGTTTATCAACACCTTTCCTAACAGCTGCTTCTCAAGCCCTTCTGCAGAAGCTCCCTGGACTCGACTCAACTTCAGCCACTCGACTCCAGCAGCTCCTTTCACCATTTCGGGATCCATGGCCAGGTTGACTGCAGTTATTTGGCAGCCCAGTCAGCCAGGCCTTGCTGCTGTCAAACAGGGCAACCCGAGCAGACACTGAAAAATCCTATAGGGAATTTGCAGTTAAGTGCAAACTGCCACATGTATTTTGCTGCTTTCATTAAATGAATATTCTTTAGCTCCAGCTCTTGCTGATCCTCCATGACATCCTTTGAATGTGAACACTCTTAAAATTCCTTCGCAAGTATTTGCTTAGCAAACTGTTTTAAAGTTTCAGCTGTGTAGACTTCAGTTAACTTTTCATGATCGTGCTGGGTTTCAAGCCCTTACTTAATGTTGCCGGGCACTCACAGTGCAGAGCAATATTAGTGCTAGCACGAAGCGTTACCTTGTGCACCTCTTCCTTTTATCAGCAGCTCTCCAAATCCTTTATATAGCCGCAGGCACATTAAAGCCCCTGCTTGTGTAGGTGGGGAAAGTGCAGGACAGAAGGGTTGGCTGCTTCCTCAAGGTAAGCGGAGCAAGAGGGCCCGGGGACCATCCTGGGATTTTTTCCATGCCAAGCCAGGAACAAGCAGGTCTGTGGCCCTGCGGCAGAGCTGCTGGGTGCAGCGTGAAGGCAGCAGTCGCAGTGGGCTGGAGTTGGTGCTTTTCGGTTATTTCTCAATGATGCAGTGTGCAGCCAGCACCTAAGCACAGAAGCTGATCCTGAATCTTCCAGGGAGACAAAGGAGGAGCTTGGAAGAGAGAAGGCAACACTGCGAGTTGTGATAAAAGGTTTCTCCCTGCCTCTGGTTTAAAAAAGGAGGAAGAAATTTCTCCCAGAGGTCCCCAGGCTTCTGCCTCAAAGAAGAGGGCTGGAGAGGTGTTTTCAAGGCCGGTAACGCGGGCAGGAAAAGCGCGTCTCAGCTCCCGTGTTTGCTCCGGCGACACGCTTGGCCCAGTGGGATTTGGCTAGAAATGGTTGCTCCCTGCTAATCACATCAGCGGGGCTGCAGAAGCAGTTCTATTGCCATTCTAACGCCACTCTGATACAGTCACTTCCCTTCATGCAGCCCAGTCAGCGTTCAAATCTTGTTCCCTCATTTCCAGTAACGCTGCTGGTCAGAAGCATCAGCTGACTGATCTTTACAAAACCAGAGAAGCTCAAGAAAGAAGAGGTGAGAACATCTGCATTTGCTCACACATAAAAGAATTAATGCGGACAAGGGCTGTAATGGAAAGGTGTTTTATTTTTGTCACATAACAGCCCTCCCTCCCCAGAGCCCCGATGCAAAGAAGTAGGGGAAAGGGGGACACACCAGCCCCCATAAGCGACATCGTCTCCGTGAGCACATTCGGGTTTTCCATGTGTGAGAGCGGCCGCCGAGGCCTCCCCACCACGGCAGCCGGGCAGGGCCAGCTCTTGGGTCGCAGCAGCCACGTTCAGGTGCCACGACGGCGTTTTTGATTCCTCAGGGCTCTAACGAGAGCCCTAAGCAGGTCTCGGGCATGTTAGCACAGCTAGAAAAATAAAGGATTTTTTAAAATTCATGGATGTGCCCTGTCTGTGCTAGTCCCACATCCTTTTGGGTGGCAATTCACGCTAAAAGGCCTATGGAGCACCAACGGTCCGAAGGGGCTGGAAGCTTCACTAAAGGTAATGCCAACACACAGATAAATAGGACTCATTTTCTTTTTAAAATGTCATGGAAAAATCAATTCCCATTGCATGACTGATGGCAACTTCCTAAATATTAACAAATATATTACACCTATGTACAAGCTGCTGACTTCCTCCTCGGAGGCGGCCGCGCCGGGGGCTGCAGCGAGGCCGTGCCGGCAGCGCGAGGGGCCAGGACGCAGCCGCATGGGGGTCACCAGCGCAAGTGGCAAGGGGGAGCGCTAAAACCATCCCGCTCCGCCGGGACCAGGCCTCGTGGCACCGGCCCGCCTGCTGCCTTCCCTCTGCGGGGCTGGACGCCAGCCTGACGCAGAGCGATGGCGCCACGGAGGGGAGGATGGGGCCAAGGAGGGCAAACGCGAGGGGCTGCCCCCGGCTGCTGGTGCCGCATGTCCCGCGAGGTTGGCGCTCGGGCGTTTTCAGGAGAAATCTGCAAGAAGAGGGAGGGCAGGTTGAAAGGAGGCCTCATCTTCCTGGCGTGAGCGCGGTGCAGCAGAGCCGGGCCTGGCTTTGGCACTGCGAGCGCCGCTGCGGCC